ATATATCTGGTCTTTGGCTTTTTTATGTCTCTTTTTGTGCCTTAGGCTTCCTGTGCTCTCAGACTGTGTGATCAGCTTCCCTGGTCAGTGCCTTTCTGAAGCCAGCCCTACCTCTCAAGTACTTCACTTAGATTGTAATGTGTGATTGTTAGATAAAGGGCTACCTCTCCCACTGATGTTTGCATTATGTGAAAAGAACATAAATTGATTCATAGGGTGCTGGCAGCAATCCAGTTCAAGGGACGCTTCAGGCTATGGGTACATAAAACTTTCAGTTACATTGCTAGTGGTCCTGGACATCTGCCCCTAGAGCCAGTTCTGGTGAACCTCACCTCACATGGTTTTTCCTTCACTTCTGAGCCCTCTTACAAGCTCCAAACGTGTATGTCCAGTAGTATGTCTAGATTAAGAAATGGTTCCTCTAGGAAGTTAGAAGTGGCTAGAGTAAGTGCTCTCCATCTGAGGCTTACCTACTCACTTCCCTTCCTGGAGGCCCTGAGAAACAGCAGTAGTGGAAGCCTCAGATAAGGAGCTGGGCCTCCTGACAAATTTGGTAGACTAAACTCACAAAAGAAGTTCGTCTGTGGTTCCTGTGAACAGTTGCCATAAATACGCTGGCTACAGATGAACCACTACGTTCTTCCCTCCCACTTCGTTTCTGATGATGTCCTCCTCCTCTGGCTGTCTCTTCCTCCCATGGCCTAACCTTGAATTGTGTTCAATGCAGAATGCTTGGTTTCGGAAATCCCGCTTTAAAGGAGGAAAAGGCAAAAAGCTGAACATTGGTGGAGGCGGCCTAGGCTACAGGGAGCGGCCTGGCCTAGGCTCAGAGAACACGGTGAGTCCAGACTGCAGCAGTGCCCTTTGGGCTGCTTCCAAGTCCTGGAGGATGTTATGACCGTCCTTTTCTACCTGAGAAAGCCTCAGTTCAGAACCCCATCTAGAACGAATGTTGTGACTTTGTCTTAGAGAAGCACCTTTGTGTACTTGGTGACTAGATATGCTCAGGAAATCAGTCTAGATTAACATCAGTTTGCAAATTGTGGTCCCTCGACCAGGAGTAAATGCAAATTTGTACCTCACCCCAGACCTGGTGAATCAGAAACTTAACAAGCCCTCCAGCACTGGCCTAGAGTGCTGCTGGGAACCCTGACTCTGGAATGCTTCCTACAGTCTGTGGGAAATTGCTTCAGAGATGACAGCTAGCTTTTCTCACAAAACAGGTAATAAAAGCGCCCCCTTACTGGCTTTCTTTTTTTTTTTTCTTAAGATTTTATTTATTTTTTTGACAGAGACACAGCAAGAGAGGGAACACAAGCAGGGGGAGTGGGAGAGAGAGAAGCAGGCTTCCCGCTGAGCAGGGAGCCCGATGCGGGGCTCGATCCCAGGACCCTGAGATCATGACCTGAGCCGAAGGCAGACGCTTAACGATTAAGCCACCCAGGCACTCCCCTTACTGGCTTTCTTAACTGCCTGTTTCCTGTCACTTTGATTCCTAAACCGAATAAGAAAGCTGCGAGTCTTTTTATTTGTGGAGCATTATTGTTTACTTGGTGTCTCTGAAAAAGAATCTGCTCCCGCCTCTCAGTAACGATGCACATGACACCGATGGTAGTGATAGCTAATGCTGAGCACTTAATATATGCCCGGGCCAGCCGTGGCAAGCAGTCATGCATGTTAACTCAATCTTCACAACCACCCAGTGAGCACAGGTGTACTGATCATGAAACCGAGGCACCCAGGTTATACTCCTATAAGTGTTGAAACTGAGACTCAGGCTTTTAAGAGTGGATTCAGAGCTTGAGCCTTGTATAGGCTATATGCATATGCTGTATATTGCCTCGTGGCCTCTTCATCCTGGGCATGCATATAAAGCTTTACAGAATTACATAACGTATTTGTTGTGTGTAAAAAAAAACCGTATGATCAGCATTGGGCATAACCTGACTTTGGGGTTAGGGTTAATTCCTAAAAACAGAATTACTGGGTTAAAAGGCATAAGCATTTTTAAATAATTATTACTGTACCTTTCCCCACAAAATATATCCTGTTCCCATTGCAGTGCCCATTTCTGTTTCCAGTATATGAGGCCCAGTCTGGCAGTGAGCTTTCCTGCTCATTCTGTCCTCATGGGTGTGCCCTTTTTTTTTTTTTTTAAAGGACCGAGGAAACAACAACAATGTGATGAGCAATTACGAGGCCTACAAACCCTCCACAGGAGCCATGGGAGATCGGCTGACAGCAATGAAAGCAGCTTTCCAGGTCTGAAATTAAGCAGTTAGCTAAAAGAGCTTTGCACAGTGATGAGGGGCCTAGTCTTCCAGAGAGTGTAGCTGAGCTTGTAGGCTTGATGCTAGACTTAGGGCCTTCTCACTGCTTGCAGTTTTGAATGTCAACTTCATGATAGCTTACATAGAGCTGCAGGTGTAGAAGTTAGGAAATCTGCTGGTCGGGGACATCCGTCATCCCAGAGCCTGGAACTGTTGTACTGCAGCAGGGCTGGCGGTCCTGCCTTGCCTCAACAGCCAACAGCGTTGCCCACCTCTAAGGCTCTTGTAAGCTGGGAGAGAGTAATTGTTTTTTTTTTTTTTTTTTTTTAGCTAAGACTAAGTTTGGTTCTGGAGCTCTTGTTAACTGAACCCATCTATACTTACCCCTCCACTCCTCCAGTTAGCAAGCTAACCAGCTTGAGCCTTAATTTATGCATTTTATCTGCTTTCAGACTGATGTTTCAGCTAGGTCCCTAGATTTCTCCTCATTAATAGAGGAACATAGAAACCACAGGGTTGTGGGACCATCTGGATGCTCATAGTGCCAGGATAGCATAGAATTTCTATGTACTTTCTCATAACCAAGCTTCACGTATCCAAGTTTCTTGAACCTACTGTCTTAGCTCTTGTTGTCTCTCTTTTAGTCACAGTACAAGAGTCACTTTGTTGCTGCCAGCTTAAGCAACCAGAAGGCGGGAAGCTCTGCTGCTGGGGCAAGTGGATGGACTAGTGCAGGGAGCTTGAATTCCGTCCCAACTAATTCAGCCCAGCAGGGCCATAACAGTCCAGACAGCCCCCTTGCCAGTGCCACCAAGGGCATCCCAGGCTTTGGCAATGCTGGGAACCTCAGCGGTGCTCCAGTGACCTACCCTTCTGCTGGAGCCCAGGGAGTCAACAATACAGCTTCAGGGAGTAACAGCCGAGAAGGGCCTGGGGGAGGCAATGGGAAGAGAGAGAGATACACGGAGAACCGGGGCGGCAGCCGTCATGGTCACGGAGAGAGTGGCAATCGGCATGGCGACAGTCCACGTCATGGAGAGGGTGGTCGCCATGGAGATGGGTACCGCTACCCGGAAAGCAGCAGCCGTCATGCTGACGGCCACCGTCATGGGGAGAGTAGGCACGGAGGTGGCGGCAGCCGACATGGAGAGAGCCGAGGTGCAAACGACGGTCGGAATGGTGAAAGCAGGAAAGAGGGTTGTAATCGTGAGAGCAAGGTGGACCCCAAGGTGGACAGCAAGATGGACAAGGTGGACAGCAAGACAGATAAGACAGCCGATGGTTTCGCTGTCCCCGAGCCACCCAAGCGCAAGAAAAGTCGATGGGACAGTTAGAGGGTATGTGCTACAGCGTGAAATCAATGGTCTTTAATTTTATTTTTAGAAAGATTTTTGGTAACTAGGCGTCTCAGGGCTGGGTTGGGGCCCAAGGTGTAAGTACCCCCTGCCCTAGTGGGTTAGCTGGAGCTTGGAGACATTACCCTTTCATCTGGATCAGTTTTCGGATGTTTTCTTGGGAAGCTGCTTTGGTCCTTGAAAGCAGTGAGAGCTGGGAACCTTCTATTGGGCTCTAGGTGAGTTGTGAAGGTCAGTTGAGGATACCTTGAAAGAAAGGGCCTTCTAGGGCACAAAACTCACTCTAGGTTTATATTATATGTAGTGTTATATTTTTTACTAAAACGTCACCTTATAAACGTCTACAAGGAAAAATCTCTTTTCTTAGCTGTGTGGCCAGGCAGTTCCCTTTTTAGGAGTTGGCTTTCTGCAAACCCAACCTACCGAAGCATTTATTAGAGATTTGGGGAAGGATTTGGTGCTTCTAGACTTTGCAGGGGAGGGAGATGTCTAATTTTAAGTGGGAGTCCATGCTCAGGTTCCCCAGCCAGGTTTGTATCCAGTCCTGAGACAGGAAGCAGCAGCCTGCCAGACCCAGAGAGTCTCTACCGTCGAAGATGATCCTGGAAACAAGACTGCTCCAGGTCTGAAGTGTTGCTAAATTGAAAAAAAACAAAAACTCGACAGCTTTTTAAGTGTCTTCTATTTCATCGTATTTTTTTTTTAACTTGCCACAATGGTAGAAAATCTTTTGCTGAAATGATTTTGATGATTTTTGTTCTATCTATCTTGTTTATAAAAGGAAATATACATACTTCGAATTTTGTGACTTTGTGAAGGTTTCTTTAAGATGTGCATTCCTTTTTTGCTTGCTCTAGTAAATGTTTTACTACTGGGACCTGTGGATTGTTTGTCATTTCTACTTCACAGTGAGTACATACTATGATTTATAACCGTGCAGCACGTGGTGTGAACACCCAGATGTTTGAGTTAGCGCTTAAGGGGAACTAATGTCAGAAAAGAGATTACCCTGGTTTTATTCAGATAATAGAAGAGGATGGGGAAGACCTGAGAGGCCAGCTTGCCCAGAACCAGAGTGAATGCCACTCTCACACTGACCTTCCCCCTAGGAGACTGTTCATCTAGTACTCCACATTCCTAACAGAGGAGCTAGGGGCTCTGCTACAGCACCAACAGGACATGTCAGAGACCTTCCTTCAGGCCAGAGAATGTCTTCCCTCCACACTCAGGACCACCGTGAGAGTTCTAGGCACCCCACATGTCTTTCCAGCAGACTACAAGGCAAGCCAGCCTGCAGCTGGTACGGGGAGAGGGGGAGCTGGAATCACACCTCCATGTCCTCACCCTGTCTTCTCAGAGGACCCGGGGGCTCTGCTCACTTCCGTCTGTGTTTTTTCTTCTGCTCTTTCCTTTGCTGTGCCCTTTGGTCCTTCTTCATCCTTGAGTCCACCACCTTGAAAGGGCCTCTGACTCCAGCTGGCCGGCGCACTTTGCGGCCCACACCTTTTTTGGCTACCACATAGGTGACCTGGTGTTTCTCCCTGCCCAGCCCAGCCTTCTTGTAGAGACTGTAAATGGAAGGAAGACATTAGAGGCTTCCAGCCACCCTTTTTAACCCCACGTACCTTTGTGGGTGACCACCTCTCTCTCCTTTACCTCCGAAGCTGAGCCACTTTCTCACGTTCTGAGATGTCCACGGTGTTCACCACAGCCTCTGCCTTCTTCTTGGTTTGCTCCAGCTTCTTCAGCATCTGCGGGGGGTGGGGGGGGGCCAGCTCTGTCAGGCGGACCTCCCCCCACTCCCACCCCTGCATTCAGTTAACAGCCCCATTCTTTACCCTCCGTTTCTTTCTGGCCTTCGCCTCGGCTACTTTCTTGATGGGACGTGCATTGATTTCCCGCCAGCGTTGGCGATAGTGTTCTACCTCCTTCTTGTCAATAGGCAGCTGCCGGATCCTGTGCTGCTTTTCCTCTTGCACAAACCACTCTGGAAGCTCCCCCTCCTCCTCATTAAATGTACACCTAGACAGGACAGCAGCCAAAATCACCCCCCCGTCCCAGTCCCCCAGGGCCACATCTCATGGTTTCCTGGCCCCCTTACCGGCGGAAGGAGTTATCTATGAGATCTCTCTTAGCCTTTTTGGAAGAGGCAATGATAGCACCTAGGGCAAGGCCTTCAGGATCTAGTATCTGATGTTTCACTAGACAGAAAAGGGAAAAGTCAAAAGCTCCATACCAACCCAAACTTCCATTGTCGCCTCCCATTTCACAAGCTACCGAGCTCACCTGAGTCCTCGATGGGCACGATCTCAAACCCGTCATCGGACTTAAGTTCACGACTTCGCTCCTTCCCGCGCTTTGGTTCCCAGCTGCAGAAGGGGGATGACCGCTGTCACTGTTCCGCCAATCCCCAGACCCACTCCTGCCTCACCTCAACCCGGTTCCTATTGAAAACTTGAGAAGCTTCCCGAAAGGCCCCCCCAAGCTGTACCACAGACCACTTGATTCACTTCAGAATCATCGCTATTTTTTAAGTCACTGTCTACAGCCAAGGGTGAAAACCCCAAACGGGGACAAGCAGTCAGAACAGCTGCAGCCACCCACCTCTCTTCGCTGCCGCTGCTGTCGCTGTCCGAGCTGCCCTCTCCTTCGTCAGGCCCAGAGGCACTCTTGGCCTCTGCTGGAGCCTCTGGCTGCTTAGGGCCCGCCTCCTGGTGCTGGGGAGCTTTCTTGTCACTCTCCAAACCGGAAGGTGGGGATGGCAGCTGCTGTTGCCCCCTCCGCCGCCTCTCATACAACAGCTGGGCCTGACTGAGCTCCAGGGCCTCATCAGCATCCTCCTCAATCCCTCTGAAGCCATCCTGTGACGGGGGGGGGGGAGTTTCAGCCACCCGTCTCCCCGGGGATAGTGTCCCTGGCTGGCTGGGCCCCCAACCTCTTCTTACCTTAGAGAACCACAGACGGGCTTGTTCTTCCTGCAGTATCATCTTTTCCTCCAATGGTACCAGCAGTGGATTCCCTTCTCCTCCTCCTCTTTCATCATCTTCTACTTCAGCAAATTGTACACTGTAGAGAAATGGGTGGGGGCTCGGGAGACGTGCTCTCCGACTCCCACTGGCGACCCCTGCACCCAGCTCTGCTTCAGTACTCACAGAGGGGGTCAATGCCCCCGCGCCTGCACGAACCCTCCACTTACCGCTTCTGGTCCTTCAGACCCAGAGACCCTCCAACCCCTCCCAGCTCCTCCTGATCCAGGTCACTCTCCAAAGATGCGTCGTCGTCATCTTCCTCAACATCTGATACGTAGAGGTCGTCTCTTGGCGGATCAGACAGAAATGTGTCTGCAGCGCTCATATCCCCTTGTGTGACCTCCTCTAACAACTGGAGTTTGACAGAGAAACAAAAAAGAGGTCAAGGGTTCTTAGGAGGCACATAACGTTTTCCCCTGTATCTGTTATCTTAGCAACATTCGAAAGTACTCTGTAATTTCCCCGCGGGAAGCCTACTTCTCCCTCTCCCATTCCCCCTGTGTTCCCTCTCTCGCTGTGTCTGTCAAACAAATGTTTAAAAAAAAAAAAGAAAAAGAAAATACACTGTGGCAAATACAGACAGGGAAGTGATGGGGCTAAGTGTTTAAAACATCCATTCGGGACACCTGGGTGGCGCAGTTGGTTAAGCGTATGCCTTCGGCTCAGGTCATGATCCCAGAGCCCTGGGATCAAGTCCCGTATCAGGCTCCTTGCTCAGTAGGGAGCCTGCTTCTCCCTCTCCCTCTGCCTACAGCTCCCCCTGCTTATGCGCTGACAAAATCTTCTAAAAAAAGGGTGGCTCAGTTGGCTGGGCGTCCGACTCTTGGTTTTAGCTCAGGTCATGATCTCAGCGATCGTGAGATGGGGCCCCACATCCAGCTCCTTGCTCAGAGGGAGTTGGCTTGAGATTCTCTCTGCCCCTCCCCCCAGTCACGGGGCACGCGTGCACTCACTCTCTAAAAAAAAATTTTTTTTTAAAGATCTGACCGAGCGCACACAAGCACAAACGGGGAGCGACAGGCAGAGGGAGAAGCAGGCTCCCGCAGAGCAGGGAGCCCAATACAGGGCTCAAACCCAGGAAGGACCCTGGGATCATGACCTAAGCTGAAGGCAGATGCTTAACTGACTGAGCCACCCAGGCGACCCTAAAATAAGGAATCTTAAAAAAAAAAAAAAAAAAAGAAAACCCCATTCTAACTCAGGTCACTGATATATCCCACTTGTCTGTCTTGTCTTCAGTGGTAGCAGAAAAACACCCCAAGCCTATATAACATTCAATCTTAAAATACTCTAAAACATTGGTTTTTCTAACAAAATTAGTCCCAGAAAGCACATTAAAAAAAAAGCACATCACCTGAGAATAACAACCTATGAATTTTGTTTCCACTGAATAGAGGAACCCAGGCAACACACACCTAACAACTATTATTTCACTTAAAAACTGCCAACCTCAAAATTTATTTTCCTCATAACAAAGCTAGCTGTTAGTGCTTGAGAGTTTACCAGTTACCAGGGATTACACCTACACCCTCTTTAAAAATTCCTCCCCAAAACCCTAGCTGGTAGGTTCTATCATTCCCTCCTACAGATAAGAAAAGCGAGGCAAAGAACAACTAAGTGGTAAATCTGCTGCAGAACCACTATGCTCTCTCCGCTGTTCTCATAACAAAGAGGACCTGGGTTTCCATTCCCGCGGGAACCACAGAAGTTCATTTCGCTTGTCAATGCTGCTTTAATCAGGAAATGCAGCCTATGGCAGCAAGGTGCTAACCTGGTCTCCGTGAACTGAAGAACGCTGCCCTCCTCTAAGGAAAACCCTCCATCACACATCCTGGCATCCCAGGTGCCCTGGTGGCTGCATCTACTAGAACCTATGCTTCTGGCATAGAGTGCCTCTTGGTTCCAGTGTTCTAGCTCTACCGTAATAAATCCATAGCACACTCATAAATGTTCCTAATCTCGTTGTTTTAGATACATTGTTTCTTCCTGGCCTTTCAGGCACAAAACTCGGTTTTTCCACCAGTCTCCTCTCACTGAAAGAGTCACCTCTCATCTTACAGGAGAACACAGCAACTATGAGCCATAACCATTCAGCACACTTAAAAAAAAGACCTCTAATACAATGCCCCCCATGTCCAAATCTGCCCTAACCCCACCTCACCTGGTGACCCCGGATGGTGCGCAGGGAGAACATGCCAGTCTCCCCCTCGTCTGCAATAGAAACCCCAGGAAGATCCATCTTCAGCTCCACACGCTCCCGCTGTTTTCTCTGCTCACGCAGCAGCTTCTTTTTCTTCCTGAGTGGACAATTGGAGAAATTCACCCCCCGCCCCCAGCTCGAAAGATTCCCCATCGAAGCCTTCATCCTCTCCCCCATCTCCACACGCTGAGGAACTCTGCGGTGGGCCTCCCGCCCCCCAAGCTCCTCCCTACTCCGCGCACCTCTTTAATTCTGCCACCTCCTGGGCCTTCATCTCTGCCAGGCTCTGGTTTAATCGTTCCTCCTCTTCTTCCTCAGAGGGCTGCTGCCCCGTCCCAGCCTCAGACTCCTCACCCGCTTCGTCGTCTTCCTCTCCTGAACTGAGGCTGACAAAACAGTGCAAGAAGTTTGCTTATTTTCTCATACACCCCGCTGACCCCAGCCAACACCTACCCTGGTTTCATTCCCACCTCACCTGATGTCCAGTGCCTTCGCTTGCTCTTTCAGCTTCTTGGCCATGTATCGCCGGAGCTTTGTTCTCCAGTTCAGGAGGGACCTGCCCCAGAAATACCACGACGGACCCTGACGTTTCCCTCTTTGTCCCTGTCCCCTTTTCAGGCCCCCCTCCCAAATCTCTAGCATGGCAGCCTCCTGTCCCCCAAGATCCAACGCTAGGTGAATTCCTCAAATTGTCCCCTCAGGAAAAACAATGCTGCTGCGTCTTCAAAGGCCTTTCCCTGCCTTGGGGGCTTCCTGGTACCTGTGCCCGCCCCCACTGCATACCTAAGTTCCTTGCGCCCCAGCACTTTGATATCCTGACAGCACGCCCGGATGTCCTCAGTGGTAGCTGGATGCTGTGCCAACTCTTCATCATCTAGTGAAATCTGTTTGGGAGAAAAGAAGTGAGTCAGGAGATTCTGGGGATGTGTTTCTGGAGCTTCCTTGCACCCCTCAAAACTGAGGACTCACTTCACTGGCTTTGGAGAGGAAGTCAACGGGGTTGGCAGCTCGGAGAAAGTCAGCGACTGAAGTACGGTGATAGAGCGTGAGGTCACCCTCAGCATAGCCTTCGGCCTTAGGGAGGGAAAGGAAGGAAGGGTGAGGAAGTCCTTTCTGAGGCATGTACAGGACCCACCAGGCCCAAGTTCCCCCGAGCTCCAGGACCTGAGAGTGGCCCCATTCCCCAAACACACCTTTGGCTTCTTCTTAGTTACCAATTCAGTAACAGTCTTGGCCTGAACTTCGATCTCCTTGAAGGCAAACTTGGGGTCAAAGAATTTACTGTCAACCTTGTCAGGAGCCAGAAATCCTAAGATGATAGGATGTATAAGAAAGTGTGCTTTGATAGCTAAGAAACCGATTCATGAGAAAGAAAAAGCAATGCCCACCCTGGCAGACGACAAAGATCTCTGCGGATTCATGGCGAGAGGCTTGGGGCTTAGTAGCCTGGACACGGCGGAAGAGCTGCTGGAAGATCCAGAGTAGGGGCTGATAGTCTCGGGAACGAAAAACCTTCGTGATGAAGCAGCCTCCACGGGCCAGAAAATCACAAGCCAAACGCAGAGCCATCAGTGTCAAATGGGCTGTGGGAGAAGACAATCAGCTGAGGACTTCTGCAGCCTGAGCAGGCAAGCCCACCTCCACCTTCATCTCCATGCCCCCCACTCCCAGCACCTTGTGAGTAAGCATCATGGACCCAGCTAGCCCCGACGTTGGGGGCCCCATCATTGAGCACAACATCAACTTTCCAGGTCTTCAGTTCCTTTCTCAGGGCCTATAAAAAAGAAAAGCAATCACGGCAGCAGAAACACAAATGTGGCTATGAAAGCAGTCCCTCGTTCGGCCATTTGTCCACCCAGTCACTTGCTCAATACCCACAATGGGCCAAATCCTGTGCCAGGCACAGGGAATACAACAATTAAAAAACAACACATGTCTATCTTAACGGAGCGTACAGTCTACTAGTGAGCCCACTGGAAAAGATTTCAACAATATATCTGCACTTCTTCCAATTCCAAACACCTCATTTGTGATTAAATAAAGCCTGGATTGGAGACTTAAGGGCGTCATGGGCCTTGTCAGACAGACTATGGCAGGCACTGCTCAAGGCGTGTTAAACCAAAAAAGCTTGCCTCCGGAGGATTTGGGTGGTGAGACGGAGAGACGTGTGTGTCTGTATATAAAGCAGACCAGAAAAAAAAAGATTCCTATTACCTGCCTACAGCGTTCTGTTGTGATGTCCTCCTGGAGCGTCACCACATTGGGAAGAGGCTTGATTGGAACCAGGTCCACTCCTGGAAGAAATCAGGTCAGAGAGTTCCGAAAGATTGCCTCAAGCAAGGAGAAAGGAAATGCAGAACACAATTAGTACCTCACTCTCCCATCCCTTTAACAGTCAGGGGCAGTCCACCTGTTACTCACCTACAATAAGGCTGGATACAGGCATAAACTTAGCAGCCACCTGCAGCCTATGAGAGAGTAACACCGATTAAAATAACACAGGCCCGTTCCTTCCCCTCCGTTGGCTATAGGCTCTCTCAGCATGCGTGTTAAGAGCCGCTACCAAGTGCAGTGGCCGGAGCATGTAAGGTACACGTTTCCAACCTTTTTTCTGCGACCTACGTCTAGGGAGAAATTTGAGACTGGTATTACTGTATCTCTCCCTCCCTCCCCCACCCCCGCAGTGCAACTCTCAGTCATCCAAGGCGAACCCAGAAAGCAGCCATGAAGAGCCACAGATGCCGGGTGTTACCCACCATCCCCCTGGCGCAGCACACAGGTCCAGCAAGGCTCGCGCTTTCTGCAGGAACTGAAAGCGGCGATTCAACTGGATCAGCTTGAAAGCAGAGCGGGAGCGGTAACCTGGGGGCACCGACAAAATGTTAAACTCGGCGGGGCGCTTTCCCAGGGGGATTCGTGCGGCTTCACAAACCACCACCCCTTCTGGGGAACAGGAACTCAATATTCAGAAAGATGGGAGCGAATCGAAAAGGCCATTCGTTCGCTCGCAGACGGCGCGGACCCTGACTCACCGGTCTCCTTCGCCAGGTGATAGAACTTGTCCCGCCGGCTCTTCCCGACTTTGCCCTTCTTGCCCATGGTGAAACGGGGGGAGTGTCACTCAACCTGGGGACAGAGTAAAAACTGGAACGTCTCTTCCGGACCACTAAACTCCGCTTTCCGTTCCCTACCTGCCTCTGCAAACACCCGTAACCTGCGCCTTTTTCACCACGCTGGGAAAGGCACGTGTGGCCAGCACACGTACTTCCGCCTCCGCTTGCGTCGCTTGCGTCCCCGGCTCCAAGTTTTCGCCATTTTGAGTGTGGCCACAAAGTCTTCTCTATGTTCCCAAGTATTATAAGTTGGAAGTTGGGGCCAGGTGAGCCGATTACCGGAACTAAAACCGAGTTCCTAGAGAGTAACACGTAGGCATTCTGTGGTCTCTTCATCCCTTTCCAAGCTCCTAACCTCGCGTAGCCACCTTCCTATCATGGCCTCTGTTTTTGTAATTGTCTCGACGCACACCCCGCCCATTGACCCGGAATTCTTCTCTGTTAGTGGACCCTAAGCCCCTGCTTTTGCGCCTGCGCGCCAAGGCGGCTCAGATGCCGGCGGGCTCGGTGAGAGAGGGAAGATGGCGCTTGACGGACCGGAGCAGGTATGGCGGCTGCGGCGGCCGGGCAGGGACGGGGGCTCGATGACAAGCAGGCGTGATCTGAGGTGGGCCGCTGGCCGGGGCAAGAGGGTCGGGTGGGTCGGGGGTGGGTTGGGTGGGTCGGGGGTGGGTGGACCAATCCAGACTGGGCCCTGCCTGGGACCGGATCTGCTGTGTCAGCGCCGCCCCCGGCGGGTCAGAGCAGGGCCGAGAGAGGAAGACACCGTGGAAGCCGAGAGAGTGAGGGGAACGATGGGAGCGGGAACCGGCCCGTCCGCGAGTCGCAGGAGGTAGGGCCCCGTTCCTAATGGTGGCTCCACTTCGAGTAATGATACCTCGGGTTTTTACAGCGCTTGACTCGTTACAAAGCGCTCCCGTGTATATTGTCTTTTGATTCTCCTGAAAGTCTTAGGAGGTAGGCGGCTTTCTCATTCTGCTTTTAGTTTAGTCACGGGGAAGCGGAAGGTTCTAAAGAGAAGGACTGAGGCATTCGAACCCAAATCTTACTCCTCCAAAGTCCAAGCTGGAAGTGGGTATTTCCCTTGCATTTTTTTTGGCCTGCTTAATAATTACACTTTTTCAGATGGAGCTGGAAGAGGGCAAGGCAGGCAGTGGACTCCGCCAGTATTATCTGTCCAAGATTGAAGAACTCCAGGTGAGGACGGACTCCAGAGGTCCAGAGGCAGCTAGAAGAGGGATGAAGGATTGAATGAGTATGTTTCTATAAATCCACCTAATTCCATTGGGGGTGCAGTAGAAGTAACTGGTCAACCATAGGAAGTATGTGAAGTTAAGTCTCTTGTTTCTCTCAACTCCCACTCCTTTGAAGGTAATCAGTATTGAGTTTATTACACATTCTGAAGAGTCAGATTTTAACCTACAAGGTACTCTTAGCCAAATGCCATTCCGTCTAGAAGTGTGAATGCAAGGGTTTGTTCCATAAGGGAACACGAAGGTTCAGATGAGATTTAGCACACTGGGGCTGGGGCAGCGTGAGAGTGGGAGGGCAGACAGAACTGCGGGGTCTGCATAATGATTCCATGGGACTGAATGAAAAGGAATTGGGCAATCCAGTGCTCTAGGCTAAAAAGGGAGCAGGGACCCTAGCAATAAGGAAAATACATAAATTGGATGAGGGAAAGTCACAAGGGTGATTTCTAAACTCCTGGTACATTTGTAGCTATATTAGGTTTATCATCTTTGAAGTGCTCTTATATGTGGTGTCATTTGTTCTTCACAGTAGTCCAGAAGAGAGGCAGGGTAGGTGACGCTGTATCTACTTAAGGTTTGGTAAGAGATCTTGACCTTTTAAGGCTTTCCTTAGTTTTACCTACCTGTTAATTGGCAGCAGTGGGGTTAGAACGTAGGCTTCTGACTCAGTGATCTTCCCACTCTACCGTGTCATTGTCTTGAAAGAAATTGACTATGTGAGGCAGCTGTAACTTTTCTCCATTAGGGCTTGTTATTTCTGGACCAGTGTGTTAGGACAACTAGCCTTTTTTGATGGCTGCCCTAGGCCCCAGAGGGACTCTTAGAAGAAAGGACAGGGTCTTTAGAATCCTATTGCACAATCTAGAACATGCAGGTGCCCTGTGCTCTTCTGTCACTCAGCTCATACCAGCCTGTAAGGATCTTGGCCAAGAACTTAACCTCCTAGTGTTTTCTGCTGTTTCTTGTCCTCCATAGCTGATTGTAAATGATAAGAGTCAAAATCTCCGGAGGCTGCAGGCACAGAGGAATGAGCTTAACGCAAAAGGTGAGGAGGGAAAGATGGGAAGGTTGCATTTGGGTAGTCTGTCCGAGGTCTGACTGTTCGAATCTCCCTAAATTGAGACTTCATGTGAGTCTAAGGTTACGCTTTGCGCTGTTACATGGTTGTTCACATGCATGCCTCTCCCGAGCTGCATTGTTAATCCCTTTAGAGACCTAAATTTTGACTTTATTTTTGTGGTCTTCTAAAACTTCGGAATGGTGCTTCATTCATGCCTATTGAATTGAGTTGTAGAGAGGGGACACCAAAGAAGCTGGGTGACCGTTATGTCTGTTTCCCATCCAGTTCGCCTACTGCGGGAAGAGCTACAGCTGCTGCAGGAACAGGGCTCCTATGTGGGGGAAGTAGTCCGGGCCATGGATAAGAAAAAAGTGTTGGTTAAGGTAAAGGCACCATGACCCCCAGGGAGCAGCCTAATGCCTGGTGCATTCCCATGCGTCCGTGTGTAGTCTTGCCAGGACACTGTTCTGTTATCTTAGGGCTCATGGGTCTTCCTGGGTGAGGTGGGTGGTTCGGTGGCTGTCAGGAAAGGTAACAAGTCCTCATTTCTTTAGGTGCATCCTGAAGGCAAGTTTGTCGTAGATGTGGACAAGAACATCGACATCAACGACGTGAGTGCAGCAGGTGAGGTGGGAGGTTGGGCTTAGCTCTCAGCACACCACTTCCTGAAACTCTCCCCTCGGCCAGGTGACACCCAATTGCCGGGTGGCTCTTAGAAACGACAGCTACACTCTGCACAAGATCTTGCCCAACAAGGTGGACCCACTAGTGTCACTGATGATGGTGGAGAAGGTGCCAGATTCAACCTACGAGATGATCGGTGGACTGGACAAGCAGATTAAGGAGATCAAAGAAGTGATCGAGCTGCCTGTCAAGCATCCTGAGCTCTTTGAAGCGCTGGGCATTGCGCAGCCCAAGGTGAGAAGCAAGATTTCCGTGGAAGGGTCATGCTGTTACTGGCACATTTCTGCCCCAGCCAAAGTGAGTACAGGGCTCAGGGGAGGTGTCAGGACATACTAGACCCCACTTACACTGGGCCTCCCCACGGAAGAGGGGCTGGGGGTAGTGCTGCCACGGTACCAAGGTGGCTCCGAGAAAAGCACTAGGAAGGACCTCAGCATTCGTTATTTATACCCCAGGATCTAGCACGGGGCCTAGCCCAAAGCGGGCACTTGGTAAGTGTTCCCTAGTGTAATGTGGGGACTGGCTTCTGCCCTGAGTCCTGCTGTTTCTTTCTAGGGGGTGCTGCTATATGGACCCCCAGGCACTGGGAAGACACTGTTGGCCCGGGCTGTGGCTCATCACACAGACTGCACCTTTATTCGTGTCTCTGGCTCTGAATTGGTACAGAAATTCATTGGGGAAGGTAACTCCGGCTAGAAACCCGAAAACCAAGCAGAAGTGAGGGGGTGAAGGTGAGGGACGGAGCTCATTGCCCCCTTAACGCCAGCTTGGCCTCTGCACAGGGGCAAGAATGGTGAGGGAGTTGTTTGTCATGGCACGAGAACACGCTCCATCTATCATCTTCATGGATGAAATTGACTCCATTGGCTCCTCACGGCTGGAGGGGGGTTCTGGAGGGGACAGTGAGGTGCAGCGGACAATGCTGGAGCTGCTCAACCAGCTGGATGGCTTTGAGGCCACCAAGAATATCAAGGTGAGGGGGCGTCCAAGGGAAGGCCCTGGGCGAGGTGCAGCCCGAGGAAGGGCTTGGCTGATGCCGCCACCACCCTCTTTCTCCACTCAGGTTATCATGGCTACTAATAGGATTGACATCCTGGACTCTGCGCTGCTTCGCCCCGGGCGCATTGACAGAAAAATTGAATTCCCACCCCCCAATGAGGAGGTTTGTGAGGGGCCGAGCTGGGGGTGGCTCTGGCTGTGGAGGTAGGGCACAGGGCTCAGGCTTTTCCTCTCTGTCCCCTCTCTAGGCCCGGCTGGACATTCTGAAGATTCATTCTCGGAAAATGAACCTGACCCGGGGGATCAACCTGAGGAAAATTGCCGAGCTCATGCCTGGGGCATCCGGTGCCGAAGTGAAGGTAATCGGAGGGCCCAGGGAGAAGGGGGCCGCGGCAGGAAGCTGTTGAGTTCCGAGGCTCAGCAATAGTGCCTGGCTTCCTTCCTCTGCCCAGGGGGTGTGCACTGAAGCCGGTATGTACGCCCTGCGGGAACGGCGTGTCCACGTCACCCAGGAGGACTTCGAGATGGCCGTAGCCAAGGTAGAGGCCTCTGTCTTTCTGCCCTTGCTGACAGACGCTCGATCAGGGCAGGTAGAGCGTGTGTTCGTTGTTCCGTTTGTAACTCAATGCTTTCTCTCTCCAGGTCATGCAGAAGGATAGTGAGAAAAACATGTCTATCAAGAAGCTTTGGAAGTGAGGTGCTTGTCTTTTGTGTGGATCCCTCAAATAAAGCTCTGCAGGACAAGCCCTGAAGGACTTTAGTCTGTTACTGCGTGGCCACACTGTTGAATGACCAGGTCCGGGTACCACCAATAAACAAGGATTTATTTGGAAATTCCCAAACCCGCCAGAAGTGGCCCTTGCCAAGCCCTGGGGTCCACCCTCCTCCAAGCTCCAAAGGGCAATAACGGTCCTCCCCACCGCTCCCCCTCCCATCCCCCCGCCCTCCACCAAGCACGCACACCCATACCTCAGGCCCTGCTAGAGAACTGGAGTCCCCTCCGAGGAGGCTCTCCCACCCTGGGCTCAAGAGCTGGGGTGCAGCCCCCTGGCGTCCGAGGAGATGGCGGCCAGAGCCGCTTGCATAGATTGAGGAAAGAAAAAAACGGAAGGAGGCACCAAACAGAGCTCCCTGAAAACCCCAACTTACCCCTGTACAAAAAAAGTGGTTCCCGCATAGAAAAACCTGCTTCCCACATAGTGCA